AGAACAAATTATGCACCTTAAGGAATTGCAGATACCTAGGCAAGTTATTTGTAATCAAGTTAGGGAAATTGAATTACATTGTTTTTGTGATGCATCTGTCTTAGCCTATGGTACTTGTATTTATGTTCGTTCAACTGATGTTCTAGGTATGCATAAATCACAACTTCTTTGTGCCAAATCTAGGGTTGCGCCATTAAAAAGCATTTCATTACCGAAATTAGAATTGTGTGGTGCCCTTCTCTCGGCAAAATTGGCTAACGTTGTGATTGAGACTATTAACATAAGGTTTACAAAAATTCAATTTTGGTGTGATTCGTCTATTGTTTTGTCATGGGTGGCGGGAGAACCTACAGACTGGGTAACTTTTGTCGCCAATCGTACATCTGAGATTCAAAGGCTTACTGAGCTATATTCTTGGAAGCACGTGGAATCATCAGATAACCCCGCAGATATAACATCAAGGGGTATGGATGCTCTGAAATTAAAAGATTCGGAACTCTGGTGGCACGGACCTAGCTGGCTTGTTAAAGATGAAAGGGATTGGCCGGCACAGAAAAATCTTGAAAATAGAGAAATACCGGAGAGGAGAAAAGTTAGAAAAATATTTCTCTCAGAAACGGTGAATTTTGAAATTCTAGATAGAATATCTGATCTTTATAAATTACAAAAGGTTTTAGGTTATTGCTTGCGTTTTATTAATAATTGTCGAACGGCAAGGGATTTAAGACAAACAAATAATTTGACAATTGCAGAATTGGGAAAAGCTATGAATAATTTATTAAAAATTTCACAATGGGAGGATTATGAAACTGAAATAAGGCTGTTACAAGGTTCAAAAAGTATTCCCAAATCTAGTAAATTGTTACCTTTCAATCCATTTCTAGATAAAGGCGGTATTTTGAGAGTTGGTGGAAGGTTAGATAAATCAAATTTGGCATTCGAGCAGAAGCATCCTGCAATACTATCTAACAAAAGTAAATTGACAAAATTATTAATCAATTATGAGCATAAAAGACTCTTGCATGCCGGGACGCAAGCTTTACTTCTTTATTTACGTAGGAAATACTGGATCATGTCGGGAAGAACTACTATCAGGGGAATTATTAGGAAATGTGTGACTTGCTCTAGAGCTCGTCCACAAGAATTAAATCAATTAATGGGTGATTTACCTAAAGAGCGCTTAACGGCATCTCGTCCATTTAATAATTGCGGTTTAGATTATGCCGGACCGTTTGATACGATAGTGAAAAAGGTTAGGGGATGCACTACAACAAAAACTTATCTTTGTATTTTTGTTTGTTTTGCTACGCATGCGGTACATTTAGAACTCGTAACCGATTTAACAACTACTGCATTCCTAAATTGTTTTAAAAGATTTGTAGCAAGACGAGGGCTTCCGAGTAACATATTTTCGGATAACGCTACAAATTTTATAGGGGCACGTAACGAATTAAGAGATCTTGTTAAATTCATAAGGGAAAAGAAAACTAAAAATGTATTTGATCGGTATTTTGCTCAAGTAGCTATTAGTTGGCATTTTATTCCACCAAGGTCACCCCACTTTGGAGGCCTGTGGGAATCTGCCGTAAGAATTGCCAAATACCATATTAAGAGAGTAACAAGTAACCAGCGGCTAACTTTTGAGGAGCTTCTGACACTAATAACACAAATTGAGGCATGTATGAATTCTAGACCTCTTGTACCTATGACAGAAGATCCAGATGATTTGAATATATTGACCCCTGGACATTTTCTAATTGGGGAGCCGTTGTCAGCCCCTCCTCAGATCGATTTAAGTGATGTTAAAACGACTAAACTAGTTCGTTATCAGTTGATCACTCAAATGGTACAAAGTTTCTGGAGACGATGGTCTCAAGAATATTTAACTAGTTTACAACAACGTACTAAATGGAAAACTTTAAAAAAAGATGTAAAACTAGGCCAATTGGTGATATTGAAAAATGAAGATTTACCACCATTGAAGTGGCAGATGGGCAGAATAGTAAGTCTTCATCCAGGAACTGATGGTGTCATAAGAGTAGTAACAGTCAAGACTTCTAATGGACTATTCCGAAGAGCATTAACGCAATTATCGTTATTACCAGTAGAAGTTGATGCTATTTAGTTATTAGAATTACTTGATAAGATGTTTATATTTTGTATTAGATATCTATTATTTTGTTTGTTGAATTATAGATCATTCAAGGGTGGCGGTATGTTTGGATTGATTGTTGAAACCGGCTCTGTATGCTAGTCTTAATATTCATATACCGACACTGACTATGTATGTAAAATTAAGGATGTTATTGTCAAAGTATCTTGTCACTGAATATATTTCAAAAAACTGTCTATTGTAATTTTTTGGTAAAAAAAAATTAAGATTTCCTTGCGAACCAGCATTTTATAAAGGGAGGCTTCAGCCCGTCATCCCAGGTAAGTGATGGTATCAACGAATGATCACAGACTGTAAGGTCAATTCAAGATGATTTACCAGTCTGTTTATTGAATCTAGTAGGTCTTTCGTCGTTTAGAATGGAAAGGTTGAAATCATTTGTTACTTCTTCTAGAATTCTATCTTTGCGATTTACACTAGTAGAACCCCACAAAAAAATTTGTCCGTTAAAATCTCTAAGGATAACTCTAGGCAGAGGTAATTGCTCTAGTAGATCGATTAGCTTTTGTTTTTCAAAGATCCATTCCTGGTGAAAAGTATATATTGCAAATATAAAGGTTTGATTGATTGTCCGATCCGGTAGTTTTGATGGCAATAGCTTCGAGGTTAGTTTGTAACGGAAATTCTCCAGCATCAAGGGTATTTTAGATATTTTAGACTAAAATAGCTACACCACCACTAGCTTTAATAGGATTGTTACGATTTTTACAGAAACTATCATACTGTTTTAAGGCTGGATTGTTATTACTTTTAAAGTTGGTTTCCTGGAGACATAATATCTGATTGATAATTGGACAGAATAGATTGGAGCATTGGAAGGTTGTTAAAGAAACCGTTAATGTTCCATTGTAGTAACGAAGAAAATGTCATTGTATGTGAGAGTAGATGCGAGCTGAAACGTTGGCTAAAATAGTCATCGAAAAAGTGAAAGAAAAAAAGAGTTAGTAGGAGGATTCTTGAAAACAGTCGCTCTCTGCTTCGGAGCTTTCCAGGTCAGGCATAGTCATCTGAAGGTGCTTGAGTATTTCTTTTCTTATGTAGTTTTAATACTTCTGTGTTTAAAATAAGGAAATAAAGATCCACTGGTGTGCTTGCTGTATTATTTGATATATCAAGAGCTATTTCCTCGAATGTACGTTTTCCTGAATTATCTTGTTTTTGTTCATGTTGTATATGAACGGTTTCCATTATTAATGCAAGAGTAGATTTTGGAGCTGTTGATTTATTTTGGGAGGGTGGAGAAGAAATGGTTTGATTGTTGGATATTTCGGTTGGATTAGAATTGCCCAGTGACTGCGATGCTGTTTGCTCCGAATGTATTTCTGTTGATGTGGTTTGTGATGGCGAGTGATATGCGGTAATGGGTTGCGAGGAAAAGGTCTGTTTGTTGGATAAATGGTTTGGATCAGGGTTACTAGGTGATTGTGACTGCGGTGATGTTTTGCAGTTATCTGGTGTGTGGCCCTCTTGTTTGCATGTGTAGCAGACTAGTTAATCTTAGGATAAGAATACACAGTAAGTGGTGTTCTCGTGATCAACCACAACTGACTCTGCGATTGAATCTTCTGGGGATTTATAAAAATTTGGCGTCTAAAATTGAAAATGTGGCTAAATTCAGGTAGAGATGCACCAATTCGTAAAAATTGTCATTGGAGAATGCAATTTATGTTCGGTCAATACTCTGTGAGGGATAGTTGTACATACATTAGATAAAACGACATTTTTTTATTTATAACATCATAACAACTTTTACTTTATTCGGTTTTCTCCCATAATTATTCGTCATTTGATAGAATTGGGTCAAGAAATACATAATATACTTTTATTGAAAATCTTGTTATTATTGCTTATTTGTAGCAAAGGTTGTTCACCAAAATCTCACATTTATAAAGCCTATTTAACATGTATATGTTAAATATTTTATGATATACCATATCGAGGGCATCATATCAGAAGGGTCTAAGAACCAACAGATAACTTTTTCAAGATACTCCTTTCTGATACTATAATTTTGCAAAATTGGTTCGTACGCCAAAGTAAAACTACCAGAATATGATGTTAATATTTATAAAACCATAGCGCGCTCTTGTGATGTATTAAGGCTATTGATAAAAAAACCGATAGCCCCAAAAATCCTAGCTCTCACGCCCTTCTGATGACGCTCTCAGTATATTGCTATAATTATAATTGCTTTTTAGCACCAACAAGCAGCTAGTTGCAGCACTAATGAGCATTGAGTGAATTGAGTCGCTTTCAGACGTTGCTGCGTCATTAAACAGTACCGGATTTATTTCCAATGTTGAAATTATTTATATAATAAAATAAACTTGAAAAAAAAAATTCATTTAACTAGTCTTCAATCCAAGAATAATTGAACCCAGGACCTCGGCTTCAGGCTTCAGGATGTGGATTATATTCCAAATCCTTTAACCAAAACATAAAATGGGCTGTGAGTATTAGTGAGCAACAAAAGAAGTTCCAGAAACAATATCATTGGAAGGAACATGCTCATCTTTACAGATATCAGACAAACACCACTCACTGGACAAATTTACTAAGAGTTGGTACTAGAATTTCACAAAATGTCACGCCACATGAAAAGCTAACAATTTTTATCTTTAAAGTTTTACATGTGGGCACATTTTAAGATACTTTGTGAGTTAGGATCTTTAAAATCTTAAAACTAACTCACAGAAAAAACGAAAGGGCCTCGCTAAATTAAAGCACTTACTACAAATTTTCTCATTGCTTAGTTATATATCTAACGGTCTATAAACTTACATTACTAATTAAAATATGTTAATTTGAAAATTTTTGTTTTTCTAACCTGGCCACAACCAATCCCCTGCAGGAAGTTTAGCTCTAATTTCAACCTTTCCAAATTTAAATGCAAAAGAATTCACCGAATTAAGACGGGCGCTTTTAATTGGATTTAATATATTTTGTGGTGTACCAGTTCTTTTACAACCATACCATTCTGATTGAGTGCATCTGAAATAAAAAGTAAATAGTTATTAAATGTCATTTAAATACATATCGAATAGGCACAGTTTATTTAATATCAGTTACTTATACAAGCATACAATGGAAAAGTTCGCGCATGGCTTAACATGCATTTGGCGGGGCCACGCAAAACTTTAATCAAGGTCAAAACTATTTGGGGAAGCGGTATTCGTAGTAATACAATCTCTTGCTTATGCATGCGCAGATGATAATACGAGAATAGAATGTGTTATGTGAGACTTTTCAATTCAATTTGAGCTTTGTCCAGGACGTTGGAGTCTATGCCGGTCGGCGTAGCCAGGTATGGATTGATACTTTCTGGTGGCGGGTAAACAAAGCCATCGCTTCATCTTCTTGTTGTATATTCACGGGCTGGCATGCGCTTGCGCATAGATTGTGTTACTATTAATACGGCACCGTGACTATTTGTTGATATTTTGTCTAATGTATAAATGGGATCGTGATATCAAGAGAAGTAGCAGTTTGTCGAAGAGTATTTAGTTAGACACGTTAGATTTTAAAAAATATTTAAATATATATGTTAGCGATGTGCCTCTGTTCCGCATCACACATTCTTGAAGGCCATACACATGCGTGTGAGGATTGACAAGCAGGAGAAGGCATACCAGCGCAGTAGGCAGTTCGCGAATAGACAGTGGCAATACTACAGCAACATTGTAATTGAGAATACTTCGTGAATTAAACCATTGAAAAAGCAGTTTAGACATTTTAATTAGGGATGATACATCCCTTTTGTTTATATCAGAAGTAGGATCACTACGCGTACGTGGCTAATAGACTATAATTAGTAATTTAACTAGAAGTTACTGCTAGTGATAATGGCGGACAAAATCCTGAACCCCCTGACAGTGCGTCAGCGGAACACAATGGCGGTCGAAGTTAAAGACAATGTGAATGGACATAGTTCAAAGCGTGATAAATTTCAGTGGCAGGAAACAATAATAAACTTTGTAGCAGCTCAAGAGTAACAAATTGCTGATTTAACTCAACATTCCAAGATGGCTACGTAGCCGTTCGCTAAGCCAACGCCCAGTGTTGCAGGAGCAGATGAATCTAACACGCAAGCGCCAATATTCCCGCTTGTGCAATGTTTACGACTTACCAGCTATGACCATGACGTGACGACAGCGCATATTCCATAAAAGAATGGTTTAGTAACGCTACCAAAATTAAAGACGAACTCAGCGATAGAGATAACTTCATGATCGCTAAATCGACCGATGCGCCTAAGAATCCCGGTTATTGTTATTGTTGTGACTGGCGACTTTCTCGAACGTGACAAAACTTTTGTGTGACTATGAAAATCAAAAATGTTGTAGCGTCACTAGATTTTATGATGCGTTGCCGGTGTCGTGGAATCTAGTTCTGAGGTTCAGACAATTTAAAAGCACGTTTTGCCATTCACATACAAAATCCTAATTCCGAACGTGAACTCATAAAATTACTCAGCGAAGTTGATGTGATCAGTGTTGAGATCTCGAGAATGACGAAAAATGCAGAGATCCTTAGAAAACCAAGAAGTCAGTTTAAAGATAGACGAGAAGCCGAACGTTTCTAGCCAAACAAAATCTTAAATGTACCTTCCTTTAAATGAGGCCACCAGAGACACCAACAAAATCCATGTCGGAGACTATAACAGGCGAGTACATTTAACGCTGTTATTACTCATAAAAAATCCGACAGTATTAGTGAATTAATTGTAAAAAAATGAGTCACGCCGAATCCAATTGTTGGGATAAACAAGGAAGTCTAAAAACATTTGTGTTAAAATAAATAACGCCATCTAAATTCGACACCGATGGCCATGTTATTATACTGTGAGCAAGCTCAGTCATTAAAATACCCTATTGATAGTGGTGCAGACAGTTCAATAATTAAACATCCCATAGTAAAAACATTAAAAGGAACGATTGGGCCAGCTGAATAAGATGCACGTATTTCTTGGAGTTGTTTACATTATCGCTCGTTATTATTTGTTAGTCATTTGCCGATTGTTACATTAGAGGTCGTTTCAAATAGTGTGATTCCAAAAGATGTTGATATTATTATTGGATGCAATGTCATATTCCGACCTTGTTTAGGTGTTGAGAAAAATGTCAACACGATTAAGTTACATCAAGACCTGCTCAACATTCCGAAAATGTTTACAATAAAAAATTTAATAAGATGAAAATTAATCAATTAGAATTAAAAGACACTTTCGAAATACAAGTAAAGAAACTTTTACTGGAAAAATGTCAATTTAGATTAAAATGCAGTACTCCAGTAGCGTATCAACGAAGGCGATTAGCGTATCAAGACAGAATTCAGCGAAAGAAAATTATACACAGTGGAATTATCCGCAGAAGTCACTCAAAATGATGGTGGGTAAGGTTTTCCCCATCTGTAAGTCAAATGACACCATCAATCTTTAAGTCGCACCGGAGCTCCACGACAAATAAAATGATAGCTGTTCCTTCGCCACACAAGCTCAGTCGGCTTCAGAGGTTGAAATTCACTCGTAAGGGAATTAATTAGGGAGAGTATTACTATTATATTAAAAAATATAAGTCCTATTGTGCTAGTAAGCAAAAAAGAAGTATTTAAGCACAAATCAATGCTTTTAAAATATTTTAGCACGTTGGACATGAAGTCAAGCTTTTATAAACTGGAAATTGAAGAAAGTTCCAAACACGTAACTTCTTTTGTTACTAGACCTATTACATACTATAGCCGCAGTACGAATTATTGTGAATCAAGGTAAAATTTTCACAATCTAGAGACTTTTGCTGTAGTGAAAGCAGTTGAACACTTTCGTGAGTATCGTTGTACAGTAATTCAGTTCGAGCAACAGCTGTAAAGAAAGAATTATAAACGCACGTGGCGCGTTGGTGTATTAAGTTATAGAATTAAAACTTTTCTATTGAGTACCACCCTGAACATAAAATGTAACATATAGACAATTAAAGCAAGTATATTATGTAGAAAGTTAAAAGTGTGCCCGCTAAAAACAATAAACAAACAAACAAACAAACAAACAAACAAACAAACAAACAAACAAACAAACAAACAAACAAACAAACAAACAAACAAACAAACAAACAAACAAACAAACAAACAAACAAACAAACAAACAAACAAACAAACAAACAAACAAACAAACAAACAAACAAACAAACAAACAAACAAACAAACAAACAAACAAACAAACAAACAAACAAACAAACAAACAAACAAACAAACAAACAAACAAACAAACAAACAAACAAACAAACAAACAAACAAACAAACAAACAAACAAACAAACAAACAAACAAACAAACAAACAAACAAACAAACAAACAAACAAACAAACAAACAAACAAACAAACAAACAAACAAACAAACAAACAAACAAACAAACAAACAAACAAACAAACAAACAAACAAACAAACAAACAAACAAACAAACAAACAAACAAACAAACAAACAAACAAACAAACAAACAAACAAACAAACAAACAAACAAACAAACAAACAAACAAACAAACAAACAAACAAACAAACAAACAAACAAACAAACAAACAAACAAACAAACAAACAAACAAACAAACAAACAAACAAACAAACAAACAAACAAACAAACAAACAAACAAACAAACAAACAAACAAACAAACAAACAAACAAACAAACAAACAAACAAACAAACAAACAAACAAACAAACAAACAAACAAACAAACAAACAAACAAACAAACAAACAAACAAACAAACAAACAAACAAACAAACAAACAAACAAACAAACAAACAAACAAACAAACAAACAAACAAACAAACAAACAAACAAACAAACAAACAAACAAACAAACAAACAAACAAACAAACAAACAAACAAACAAACAAACAAACAAACAAACAAACAAACAAACAAACAAACAAACAAACAAACAAACAAACAAACAAACAAACAAACAAACAAACAAACAAACAAACAAACAAACAAACAAACAAACAAACAAACAAACAAACAAACAAACAAACAAACAAACAAACAAACAAACAAACAAACAAACAAACAAACAAACAAACAAACAAACAAACAAACAAACAAACAAACAAACAAACAAACAAACAAACAAACAAACAAACAAACAAACAAACAAACAAACAAACAAACAAACAAACAAACAAACAAACAAACAAACAAACAAACAAACAAACAAACAAACAAACAAACAAACAAACAAACAAACAAACAAACAAACAAACAAACAAACAAACAAACAAACAAACAAACAAACAAACAAACAAACAAACAAACAAACAAACAAACAAACAAACAAACAAACAAACAAACAAACAAACAAACAAACAAACAAACAAACAAACAAACAAACAAACAAACAAACAAACAAACAAACAAACAAACAAACAAACAAACAAACAAACAAACAAACAAACAAACAAACAAACAAACAAACAAACAAACAAACAAACAAACAAACAAACAAACAAACAAACAAACAAACAAACAAACAAACAAACAAACAAACAAACAAACAAACAAACAAACAAACAAACAAACAAACAAACAAACAAACAAACAAACAAACAAACAAACAAACAAACAAACAAACAAACAAACAAACAAACAAACAAACAAACAAACAAACAAACAAACAAACAAACAAACAAACAAACAAACAAACAAACAAACAAACAAACAAACAAACAAACAAACAAACAAACAAACAAACAAACAAACAAACAAACAAACAAACAAACAAACAAACAAACAAACAAACAAACAAACAAACAAACAAACAAACAAACAAACAAACAAACAAACAAACAAACAAACAAACAAACAAACAAACAAACAAACAAACAAACAAACAAACAAACAAACAAACAAACAAACAAACAAACAAACAAACAAACAAACAAACAAACAAACAAACAAACAAACAAACAAACAAACAAACAAACAAACAAACAAACAAACA